TTTCTTATAACAATGTTAAATGAAGAATAATTATTTTAAATGTAATTTTTTTTGCAAGCAGTTTTAATTTAATAAATGCCAATCATTTTTATTTCAAATATTTTGAAAAGTAAAGAATATTTTAAAATATTTTTTATTCCATATATATCCCCTGTGATATTGAAATGTTTCAGAAGATCTACTTCCATGTGCCATTTCTCTTCATGATGTGGGGGTCTTTGCTCTCCACCATTTCCTGTTCTTTGTAGTGCTTAACAAATTTTGTCATTTCACTATCTCTCATAATCTTTTTTCTTCCAGCCATTTATACAAGTTTGTTAGGCAAGTTATGTGCTGCATTCCTCTGTTGCTCTTGCCGTAAATATGTCCTGTCAGTGTCAAATTCTCTAAACCCTCTTTCCTCATTATTTGTCCTAGGAATTTCATAACTTTTCTCTATGGTACCTGGACTTCAAGCTCAGTACTAGATTGGCAGTTAAGTCTCACCATTTTAAGGTTGAAATGTCTAAATGTAACCATAATTTTCATGCTGTTTCTTCTTTCGCACTTCTCGCTTGTGGAATTCTTTTCTGGTTTCTTGTTTTCCAGTCAAGTGTGTTCTTTGAATATTGTCATGGGTCCTACCTATAACGACAGAATGAACTCTTCCTAACACTATGTATACTAGGCCTCTCAAGAGAGAAGGTCAAATCGAGTCGAGTCGATAGTAGTTCACTCCAAACCAGACTGACAGTCACACATTCCACATATTTTATTATTATTTTGTGTAATATACCTTCGTTATTTCTATTTTTGTGTTTGTGTTGTTCTTCCTTGGTCCTAACCTGGACCATAACAAATATGTAATGTCAATTATTATCTTCTGTCTTTTTAGTTCTTGTTCTTTTGTTGCACTTTCTCCTTAACCCTTTGCCTGTACTGCCCATCATAAGTGATGCACAGGACATGTGATTTCCACATCTGCGTATCATATGTGATGCACACAAGCCATGATTTTAAAACCATGGTAAAACTAAGGACACTTAAGAAAGGAGTCAACTATTGAGCAGCATGCCTTAGGAAAGGCCTAATCTAATATCTTGAGCATCATATATTACCACAGGATGCGTGCCTGTTTTCAGATTTATAAGGCAACTCAGCTTATTTGGCAAATAGAATGTGATGATATATAATTTTCCACATAAAAAAAAAACTGTGCATCACATGTGATTCACAGAATATAGTGTAAATAACTAATTTAAATGTTTTGTCTTATGTGAAACAATATATGTCATCACATTCTATTTGCCAAATAACCTGAGTTGCCTTGCAATAGGTATAAACCTGAAAACAAGTATGAATGTTTGGATAAGACACACAAAAATTCCCTGGACAGGAAAAGGGTTAATAATGTTTTTCGTTTTCTTATATTTTTTCAAACTCTGTAAACCACAGCATCTAAGTGTTCTTCCTTGGGGTGAAATGATAAAAAAAAATATATATTTGTCTTTTATCAATAAAATTAATTGACACAAAATATGTTGCAGAATATTTTAATAACATTTGTCTTGCAGAATATTTATATATTGTTAATATATAATACACACACACAACACACATGTATATACATATGTATGTGTATATATAATATATATATATATATAATATATATATATATAATGTATATATATATATATATATATATATATATATATATATATATATAAATATATATATATATATATATATATATAAATATATATATATATATATATATATATATATATAAATATATATATATAATGTATATATATTAGTTATATATAATGTATATATATATATATATATATATATAAATAATATATATATATATATAAATATATATATATAATGTATATATATATATATATATATATATATAGATATATATATATATATATATATATATATATATATATATATATATATATATATATATATATATATATATTTATATATACAGATTTAGAGAGAGGAGAGAATTGTAATATTATGAAATAACACTGTATGTTGACTATCATTTTCATGTTTGAACATTTCTTCAGATCTTTCTCTCTAACTGCACTAAAACTACAAACTGATGGCACAAAATCTAACCAATTTCATACATTTAAATATACAGGATGTGTTTTAACAGCAGACAGAAAATTCAACACCAAACTCTGAAGGCACATGCCTTCCAAAAGCTTTTAGCGATCTTGTAATCATGAGAAATAACACAAAATCTAATTCCCATGATTCCATAGAAAAAGTATTGATAAAGCCATTAATGGCTATCTCCATAAAGTCAGACATCTTAATACATAAGTATTAAGACATCTGACTTTATGGAATAGAGGTATCATCTTTATTATGTTCCATTTTGCAGGTTCGAATCATGTAGGGGTCACAATCCTGTTATGGTGGGCCTTGACTCCTGTATTTGGTTAGTAAAATATAACATATATTCATCGCAACAACAAAGTGAGGCATTTATAATATCTATATATATATAATAAGTGATATATATATATATATATATATATATATATATATATATATATATATATATATATATATTTATTTAGCCGAAACAATATTACTATATATGTATATTAACATATTTTTGTGTGTAACAATTGAAGTGCAGTATGCAAAATTTTATTTTGTTTAACAATGGAGATGAAATGTGCAAACTAATAATGATCCACCTGCCCAAATTCAAGTTATATTTGTTTTTGAAAAGAAAAAAGAAGTTCAGTTGAATAAAAATTATGAGAGACTGACATGAGTTATGGGCAACATTAGTTTTGTTGAATATTTGTTTTACAAAATTAACTATATTTTATTTAAATTAATTTAAAACAAAAATATGGCTCAATCTAGTTTTTGCTTGAATTAAATTTAGTTTAAAATTATTTACTTTTTTATGTTAGTACCAAACCAAAAAAACAATCAATTAAAGCTTGAATAAAAAATTATTTCCCATAACATAATAAATTATTTTTCTTTATCATAGTTTTGGGGAGAGGTGGAGACCCTTGTGCCAGTGTGGCTTGTACATATTCAAGATATTTTGTTTTAAATTTGTTTTGTAAAGTAAAATAAAAAAGAAGAATAGATTCTTTTTTAAAATCTGCAATAATGAATGAATAATAAAAAGTTAAAATAATTACACAAAAAATACAGAAATAAATTCAAGAGAATAGAAAATTTAAAAATATATATAGCGTCTTGAAATTATCAGCAGATTTAAAAAAATAAAAACAAATGGGAATAATATTTATTCCTGTTCGTTTTTACTTTTTGATTCTGAGAATTTCAAAATGCTTACATGTCTAAAAACTGAGTATAATGCAATTATTTTTAATTTAATATATTTTTAATTTCAAAATATCTTTGCAAATACAAATCATATGATGGATTAGATGATGCTGAGTCTGTATATATATTTATTTTGCCATTAATTATTGCATGTTACAATTTGGAGCATATGTCGTGGAATTTGGTAAAAGCTTGGAAAAAATAATATCTGAGGATACGTTGCTCTTGGTACGACTAGAAATAAGTAGACTATTACTTATTGATCTATAAACTGTCAAGGATTACTCAGACTTTCTTAATTTTACAGAAAAGTATTGTGATTTGTGATCTTTTGCATTAAACAGAATTTCAGTTGTAAATATGTAACATTTATGAGGATAATGTACAGATGTCTTTCCTTAGGTGTTTGTAAATTGTACACTCTTCAATTATTAATGCTAACAATGAACTATTTCAAATTATTTATTTTTTATTTAGGTTTCTTTTTCTACTTGGAATCATAGAATTAGATTTTCTTTTTTTTCTCATGATTGTTGAGATCCTGTTAAGCTAATAAAAGTATTAAGAAATAGGAACATTTTGTTAGAAACATTATACATTATTTTTGATCCAATCTCTTCATGGCTTGTGTTGTTTCAATACTGTTGTGTTCAGATCTTTGGATAACAGCAATGTCTAGGATTAAAGACTGTCATTTGATATTAAGGACGTGTCTCAGGCATTTTTGGTTCAATTGCTCAAGCCATTTATTTATATGCCTCCTCTATGCTGTTCATGTTTCAGAAGAACACATCAGAGACATTAAAACACAGGCACTGTCCTTTCTCCATAGTACTTCTAAAATATGAGAAAATCCCAACAAATTCCACCCATGGTATTTTTTGCTTTTTTGAGGTGAATATCACTTTTGCCTTCTTCAGGCTAATTCTAAATTGAAAAGTATCACAAAATGTCCTTCTCCAGCAGTACTTCAAAATATGGTGCAATTCATTGTTTTTGAGTTGTAAATCTCCCCCTTCTTGAGCTATATATATATATATATATATATATATATATATATATATATATATATATATATATATATATATTACAGTTTTTTCATATAGACAAAAACAATTTACTCACTACAAAGATGCAACTTCGTTTCAATGCATTTAAATTGCACTTTGACTGGTGAGAACCAAAATGGTTATGAACAATTCTGTTAGTAAACAAGCAGCATGTGAAATATCCTTGTTTTGTCTATATGAAAAGATTATAATCAATAATAATTACTTTACTATCAGTATTGAGCCCTTTTTGAATTAATGTTGTAAACGTTTGAATTTATATATGATTTTCATTCTCGTTTCATTTGGGTATATATATATATATGTCTGGGACAAGATGACATACATTTTTATGTCAGAACAATGATAGGAAAAATTAATGACAAAGTGGAAAAACATGGTAGTATGAAACGTTTTGTCATTTAAGACATTATCTAATTAGAGTGATATTTTTGTTGATGTGACTAAATATGTGCACAAAGAAGAGGGATACAGAAATTTTAAAACTTAATTTTGTTTTTTAGATGTGTCTGGGTATATAGTCTAGCTCATGTCATTTAGTTTTCTTGACACATTTAAATAAAATGTAATTTATTACATGCATAAAACTGATATGCATGAGAGATTTTG